AAAAAAATTGGAAATAACATGCACTGCATCTTATGAGTTATTTTTGTACATATCCAAAAACAATTCATGGGCTTTACGCTTGAATGCTTTAAATGAGCTGGAAGATCTAATATCTGGTGGCAACGTATTATAAAAAGATGCTCCAGTGTACCGAAGTCCACTCCTGGTGATTGATAGTCTATAGTTTGGTATCCATAAGTCCATATTGGCAGTGCTTCTTGTATGTCGCTGGGAAATTGTTGACAATGGTTTAAACATATTACTTAAATAGTCTGGAGTCAAGTTATTTAAAGATTTATAAACTAGGCAAACTACCCTATACATAACTCTGTACTTTATTGGTAAAATGTTTGACTGTTCGAAAAGTGGTTTAGATGGAGAAAGTTTTGATTTATCATAAATTAGTTTTAGGATAAGTTTTTGTAGTTTGTATATTCTTGAAGTGTGTGGTGATTGTCCCCAAACGGTGCAGCAATAATCAATCCTTGGTTGAAAGAACGTTTTATAAAATAGAATCCTTGTTTGAAGTGGCAGATAGATTTTGATTCGGCGGAACAGAGCGATAAGTTTACTCAGATTAGAAGCTAGATCATTGATACGGGCTTTCCAACAGAGATGATTATCAACAATCACACCCAGCAATCTTTTTGATTCTACATTTTCAAGCACAGTATTGTTGTAATTGATATGGAGTTCAGAAGAGCCAATTTTCAGACGAGAGTGTGCAATTCAACTGGTTCATGGAATTTCCTGAGGAGTGCAAGGTGGAATCATCAGCATAAAGATCTAGGTTCTGGTTACTATGTAAAGGGAGATCGTTAACAAATAAAATAAATAGAAGCGGTCCCAGAATACTTCCTTGTGGTACGCCAAATGAAACAGGAGCTATTGATGAAATGTGATTTTTAATTCGAACACACTGATATCTTCCGGACAGATAAGAATACATCCATTTAATTGTAATAATAACACTTAAGCTTGGAGATGAGAATATCGATGTTTACCATGTCAAATGCTTTTCGAAAATCAATAAGTGTTACACCATTAAGTTTTCCATGTTCAATATTTGTAAGCCATGTATCTACCAACTTAACAATTGCACTTTCACAAGAATGGTAGCGTCGGAATCCCGATTGTCCTTTATACAGTAGGTCAAACAATATTAAGTGGGTGGTTATGCTGTTATGGTAGTGACGTTCCAACAGTTTGTTTACAATACAGAGAATGGAGATTGGACGGTAATTACTTTTTTCAGTACAACTTCCCGATTTATGAACTGGGGCAACTCTTGCAGTTTTCCATCGCATTGGGAAGTAACCGTAAGTAATGCTTTGATTAAGAATCAAGGTTAAAGGTTCTGCAATGACTGAAGCTGACATTTTGAGTATTTTGGAGGACAATCCATCCAAACTTGTGGCTTTATGAGGATCTAATTGATTAAGTGATTGCAAAACTTCATCACACGTTAAAGGTGGTATTGTAAGAAGAATATCATCAGTAATTTTACTGCTAACAAAGTCATTTAGTTGTTCTAGGTCAGGATCTAGGTTGCTTGTTGGTAAGTACTTATAAACGACTGTGGAAAAATAATTGTTAAAAGACTCGCATAAATCTTTTGCATCAGTAAGGGTGGTTTCACCGTCTTTTATTGCCGTTGGTGCTGATTTTGAATTATTTGGTACTAATTCATTGATATATTTCCAAAGTTTAGTGGAATCGCCTTTACAATTCCTTATGCAAGACTGGTAATAAGTCTTCTTGGCTTCGCGCACTAGGGAAACACACTTATTATGCAGAATCTTGTATTCTGCAAAGTTCTTAGCAGATTTATGACGGTCACGTTGACGCATACAGTTTAATATGTCCTGCGTTATCCAGTCAAGTTGTTCCACTCTTTTTACCCGTTTTGTTTTCATGGGTAAATGTTTATCGATGATACCAACAAAAAGATTATGGTCAAAATATTTGAATGATCGGTATTTGATGCTGGTATGACAATGTTTACTACCGAAACCATCCTTAAACACCACACATGTTGGGTAATGGTCACTAAGGCCTATTTTAGGAACTTTAACTGCTCTTACTTTGGCGCTCAACGATGTGAAAGCGTGATCAACTAAAGTGGCTGAATTTAATGTTACTCTTGTGGGTTCATTAATTAGTTGGTGTGGTTGGAAGTTTTCATTAAGATGAAGCCATGACTTAGAAAATGTATTGTTTACCAAGAGATCAATGTTAAAATCACCCATTATTGAAAGTTGACAGCCTTCAAGATATGCATTGGTTATTTGATTTTCAAATTTGTTCATCCACATTGTAACATCATATTGAGGACAGCGATAAGCAAAACATACCAAGTGTGCTGGACGTTTTGGTGGACAAAGTTTAATCCAAAGTGATTCAGTGTCGTTTGCTTCAAGGTCCTGTCTTCGTAGATATGGAATGCTTTTGGCAATATAAACTGCAATACCCCCTCCGCCATGTTTCAGGAAAGGTAAATTAATGTATAATAAAACAATTATTGGATTCGCTTTACGCATGATAGACCTCAGTCAAAGTTATCAGCTCCACTTTGGCAGATAACTTTGACCTTGGACTTCATGGAATTTGACTGACTGATCAATTATATACATTTCCAATAATTATAAATCCTCACAAGGATCAGTTTTAATTTACCTTCTTATTGTTTAACTAAATTTTTCGTTTCCTTTTTTATTATTTTCATTTTTTCTTCGTTTGGCATTGTTCTAGATCTGCTTTTCCAACCTTTCCAGCTTCATCCTGCCATTTTTTTCCGATCCTCGTCGCTCAGCTCTCTCCATTTTGAGGCAATCGTCATTTTTTGTCGCTTTGAGGGCACTTCTTTTAAAGCTTCTGAGGAATAGAAATTTACACAAAACTGCGTTACATATTTACTGTATAAAGTGTTGTACGAAATTTCATGACCATAAGGATTCTATCAGAACTAATGTGCTGCATTACAAAATTTAAGGCAGATTTTAATATTGTCCTTGTTCTTCTCGTTTCTACACCATGTTCCTATATATACAGTATGTACTGTACATGCTGTAGAGTATCAACTACTGTTTTCTTAGGATTACATGTATTTATTAAACAATTAGTACGTTTTATACTTTTACATATTCAATATTTCACAAAATCACTCTCAATGAAATGAAATGAAATGGCGGAGCTGTGAAAGGACCAGCCACCCGAAAGGCCGCTAATTCCTTAGTCAATTTCAGGTCAACAATGCTTGGGTGTTCTAGGGCCGACGATAAGTTTTTAGACTCTAGAAACCGAGCTTCACCGTCAAAATGTAAAGAAAAACCAAACGAAAACCCAGAAATTAATTGATTAAAAATAGTTTGTTCATAGCCAGACAAAAGATTAATGAGAGGCGAAAGTTTTACCGGAGTTGGTAGTTAATGATTTGGCGGGGCGATCGGAATTGGCGATTGATTTACCACTGAGGCCACAAAAATTATTGCCACACTGAGTGCTGCAATGATTGCCTTGACGTTTAAAACATGTGTGTTTAAACTTGCAGCCTGAACAAGCTAGACCGCGATGAAATTTAAAACAATAACCCCATGGTACAGCATTAGGTGGTCGGACTCGCGGCTTTAAACTACCATTATCGTGGCCTATTTGGGGTCCAGGGGCTCGCTTGCTGGTGGAAATAGTGGAATACTGTGAACACAACCACAGTTAGCTGTGGATCGAGCCCCATGGCACAAGGCTACATTGAGTTTGACGGAGAAATCGAAAATTTTCGTCGTAGAAACGCCAATTCCGACCGCGTAATGCCAAATCGCGTATTGTCTGCCCGTATTTCATGAGGGTGGGGGCCTCATGCGGGAATTTTTGGGTATATATACCTACAAAAGCTACAAAGCCAGACCTCAATACTTAGAATTTTCTTTGGCTTGGAAGCTGGTTCGAGACAAAATGAAGCTGGGAGACCCGCTTCGGAACTCATGAATGAAATCTGAAATTTTTCGCTATTAGAATTGCTCAACAAGCAGCCAAAATCGATGAACTCTCCATTCCAAATTTTTCCCTTAAGTTTTGCTGATACCCTGGAATCGATAGGTAAACTGGCCGAGTGAAAGAGTTGGGTAGGTTCCACAGAATTGCTCCCGCTATTACTATTTAATGTAGGCAATAACTGAGGCTCACCTGAAATGCTGGTATGAGCCGCAGCTATTGCCCCAGTTACCAGAGTGTTAGCCTCGGATTGTTGACTTTGTGGCAGTGGAACATTATGGCGTGAACTTGGCTCTTGCATGTAATTGGGAACTGGTTGATGATCAGTTGATGCCACTGGCACTGGAGTGGGAAGCATCGTTGAAAATTGCGTCGAAAGCTGCTTCGCTACTTCGGCAGTCACCGTGGACACCAGCATCTGGAGAAGCTTGGGCGGCAAAACAGTCTCCGTAGAAACAGCATCGCTAACAGGAGGAACAGAAGCCGTCGGTGCTGTATTAACTGAAGGTGGTTGATTGGCACTGCGTGTCGCCATTGTAGCGTTGATGGTCGAACTACGGCGACTACGCTGCGATGACGGGCCATCAGCTGACGCGGTAGCAGGTCTTTTGCATTGCTTTTTCCCTTTTGGTGGCATTCTGCAACGGGAAAAAACTTGCGAAAAACAGTTTTGAATGTAATGAGAATAATTGATCAATGATAAATGACCACTGCGATTAATATACATCATCGTTGAGCTGCATGAAAAACGATGATAATCGAATAAATTTTTCGCAGGGCAAGTATGGCTGACATTTTTAGAGTCGACGCAAGTTACGAGCCCTGGATGGCCAAAATTACTTATAACCAGATATCTCCAAAAACATGGAGAACAGTAGAACAATCTCCAACAACATGGAGAACAGTTCAAACATTAAAATCCCCAAAAACATGGAGAACAGTAGAACAATCTCCAACAACATGGATAACAGTTCAAACATTAAAATCTCCAAAAACATGGAGAACAGTAGAACAATCTCCAACAAAATGGAGAACAGTTCAAACATTAAAATCTCCAAAAACATGGAGAACAGTAGAACAATCTCCAACAACATGGAGAACAGTTCAAATATTAAAATCCCCCAAAAACATGGAGAACAGTAGAACAATCCCCAACAACTTGGAGAACAGTGCAAATATTAAAATCTCCAAGAACATGGAGAACAGTCAAATAATCCCCAACAACATGGAGAACATATAGTTCAAATATTAAAATCCCCAAAAACATGGAGAACAAATATAACAATCTCCAACGAACGTTGAGACCAGTAAAAGAGAACAGAATAAAGCAAAAATTCTTACCTGTTCAAATTAAAATGATACTAAACAAAAACTCCTTGATTAATAAATTTTGATATCTTCACAAAGTGGTGTTCACTTGGCTGTAGACTGAATGCGACTAATTGAATGCATTGTTATTCAATTATTTTGCACACGTTCCAAATACTTTATATCTACACATTACCTTAAGAATACCGTATGAATTATGTACACTATATCTATACATATAAGCTCATTGCATAGGATAGTTTTGTAATAGATTCATAATTTTAATTTTACAGCTGAAGTTATACCAGAAACAGACTACAAATATATGTAACTGCTAGAGGGTGGGCTGGAGTGATTTGGGATGGGTCATGGAAAATCTTTTGGCAGTTTCGATGGGCTGCCAATCTTTTTGTATGTCCACGGTTGGGCCACCAAACAAAAAAAACCCATGCATGTCTACTTCAAAAAATAAAGATATTAATAATCAAAGTAAACAAAACTATCCAAATTATCAAATGCAAATGATGCTATTGAACCCAGTACTTTGTTTATACAACAAAAAGTGGTCGAATCACAGCAAATACAACCAACTGGAGAGCAGCTCATGCAGTATCAATGTGCCGGTTGGTCAAGCTTGGTGGAATTGTGTATGTCAATACAGTGCTGTGTATATTTTACAATGTTCATACCTGCAAGTTTTTTATTATTATAAAAGTGTATTTTCCCAATTTAGATTGGGTGGGTCATGAAAATTTTTTTGTAAGATTAGATGGGCTTTGAAATTTTTATCTACATCCTAAGATGGGGTCACCGAACTTATTGGCAAAATTTGTGATTTACCTCCAGCCCACCCTAGCAGTTACTTTATGACCAGTCCCTAAGTCTAAAACTAGAATCCATTCTGATTCAGAAACCACATAACTCCGCCAGCAAATTAAGTCAAGCAAATTAGCACGACATAAATTATGAATCCATAAATTCCGCATTTGTGAGTCTGACAGCAGATTGTGACACAGCAATCACGTTCCTGCTGATTAATGACAGAGTCTTCCCCCAAAATAATGGTAAGATAGTTGGTGAAATGCTCAAAATCAAGCTCTCAGTTGAGTGGAAATACCATGGAATCGTTATGCGGTGATTGTGATCTCTGACTCATTGGATATGAGTGCCGTGAGTGCACTTTTAGAATACAGTTCAGACGTAACAACATGTGTATCCCTAATTCTCCCCACAATTTTTGTATTTATATGTTTGATATTTTTAATATACTGAGGTGAAAAAATTAACTAATTGCGGAGGTAATAAATATTTATCACGCTGCACAATCGAATTTCTTTTCAAAATTTAGATTACCAGATGTCCACATTTTATACCTGAACTCAACAGCTTTGCAGTGAACATGTTGTTGTATCCTGATGCAACACGTTGTATAGGGGGATTTCTTGTCTGGCATGCCATGGCATGTCCTGCTCTGACTCGTCAAAATTTCTTTTTCTTCTCTTCCTTCTTTCATTTCCAATCCATTTCTATATAATATATAGAAACAAATTTCATTAATATTAATAATTTTTGCCTCATAACCGAAAATTGAGAATTTGAAATGTTGCCTTTAAAGTAATATGTTCTTGACTGTAGGCTAAGTGCAAAATATCAAGTTCACTTGTTACAATGATAAACTATATCTCCCAAGAAAGTTTGCAAAAATATGTATATAATAAAATAAAACACTTGATGTGGGATTTTTCATGATGATTTTCCAAGGGATTTTATGGGATTTTTCAAGTTGATCAGATCTAGAACTGCTACTTCCAACTGTCGCTCGTGTTTCACCGCGAACTCTCGTCAACTATCATGCACTCTTGTGAACTTTCAACGCGCGCTCAATTTCGTTGAGAGTTGATGAGAGTTTTTGCACGTTTGCCACTGGTTATATTTACTCAACTCTCGTCAA